GGGCTTTCAAAGGATCCCAGAATATCTAGAGTATATCATTAGCAAACTGGACATAACTTAAGTCTTGGGGGAACTGATCAAATAGCTAGACCTATTTATCTGCTTGGCTGCAGATGCTTCCAGCATCTCTGAAGTGATGCTGTTCACAGACAACTCTGTGGCCAGTTTTATTCAGATCATCCTTGGAAAGGAGCTATTGAAAAAGCACAAAGCATATGCTAAACCAGATGGCTAAAGCTACAGCATATGGCCAAAATATAAAGAAAAAAAAAAACACCAAAAAGCATATAATTCCCCAAATTCCCCAGTGATGCGAGGGTCCAAAAAAGAAGAGTCTCTCCTTCATTGGTGGGGTGAGGTGGAGAGAATCTATAGATGGCCCTGAAGGTGCTTTGTTTTTCAGGCAATGTTTTATCATGTTTCAGATACATGTCTATTAAAAGGGAAATTCTGCTATAAAATGGAGACAACTGAATTAGAGTCGTGCACAGAAAGCTGAACATGCTGCCTACACCTGCCCAGGTGATGACTTTGTCACTGAGGTAAGGTCACAGCTTCCATCATGGAGGTGGGAGCTGGAGCGCAGAACAGAAGGTGGGAGATCAGGAGGTGTCACAGGGCTTCTGTATCCCAGGCTTGGAGAAGATGGGGGAAGCAGCTGCTGCCTCCCCCAGGAGCTGAGGCACCCCATTCGGGGTCAGCACTGCCACGCTCTGCCAAGGGCTGCAGCAGTGAAGAGGAAGGAGCGGGGCACAGCCAGTGCAAGGAGCAGCATGAGCATCCTCGGGGGCCAGCACATGGAAACAATCCTAGTAGTTGGCTCCCATGGGAAAAACCTCATGCAATTGTTTCTGTTATACTTTCAGAAGGAGTTACCCTTTTTATCTACTTGGTTAGGGTTTTCTTTCCTCCCTTCAACAAGTTTGCTAGGCACCCAGTTCACCTTTGTAAGCAGAGAACATGAGGACTTTGAGAATCGGAAAGTTTGGCTGTTGGTAGAAGCTCAGACGGGTATTTTTTATAGCAAACCTCTGAAATTTGAATCCAGATGCTGATAGGTGCAGGTCAAGCCCCGTCTTACAGATCCTCAGAAGTGAGAAGCCCTTCAAAGTGTTATTCGCACAACAGCTTTAACAGCTGTTACCCACCATCGTTTCTGTAGAGGGACCAAGTTCAGACCTGAGGTTTTATCCCCAGCTTTGGACATCATGAATCAGATACGGTTTCCTGTATCTGGCTCTGCAGAGCCACAGTGTTAAATCTGTTTGAAACTATAGTACATGAATGCTGTGGATATTTCCA